GACATTCAAATGTGGCCTTTTCTAACCATGCAACCCTATATCTCCCGCGTTTTTCCCCCCCTCCTTCTCCGAATACGCCGCAAACCCCCTTTTTACTCCCTCGAGTCTCGAGAAGCCACGAGCGAGCCCATCCAGATCGTCAAACAAATGACGCTTGAAACAAACGAAAGACGGCGGCGTTTGTCTTTTGTCCGTGTTGGCACGCACGGAATTCAACCACCCTCGGTCGACACTCTTTTCCCTCCCTCCCCCTCTCTTCCTACCGCGTTTATCACGGGGAAGAGAACGGAAAAATATCGTTGCCGGATTTTTGTTTCGGTTAGCCAAACGCTTCTGCTTAATGGTTCGCGCGATGCTTTCGAAGGGACGCCTTGAGAAAAACGGTGATACTCCGATGAGGAAGAATTTTCTAGGATGCACATGAGAAGATGGGGAAAAATTTAATTCTTGACGCATCTCATTTCATCCTGTCATTCGCGAGTCCTTCATAAAAGCTTTAGAATAATTGCTATATCGAAACTCAAATGTATTTCTTCTCGCGCTGCATTGCATTGAGATTTCAAAATTTTATCTATTATATCTTCTGTACGATGAAATTTTATTGTTATAAGATTTAGTAAAAAAAAAAAAAAATGTAAATGATCGATAGACATATCGTTTAGTGCTTACGCGCCTCCTTGTGCCCTTCTTCCTTTCAATACCTTTATGTCAGTCGGCGCGTTACGAGTCTTTGTCTTGGATTTGTCCCCCTCCTGCCAGCGGTGCAAAGGGGTTTTCACCATCGCCCGAATCGTACTCGAGGATGAAGCTTTATTTAGCAGATGATATTTACGACTTCCAATCCCGCGAGACCCTCCCAACTTTTATATTGTCTTTGGCAGAGTTACGCTTTTGGCGATGCTACTACCACCTCCTGCTTCGCTTCCCCTTTCATCGACTCGTTTCGTTCGATTCGTTCGTCTGTACCATTGAAAAGATGCTGCCGACGATTTGGAAAGCGCAGCTAAATGGAATTAAGGTCGTTCACGGTTTGCCGTAAAGCTCGATTTTGCCGTCGAACGTTCGCGCGCAAAGAGTAGAGGATTTTGAAACTTGTCAACGATACTTAAAATATAAAGAAAAATCGCAAAGTCGAGATTTCGTTCATCTTTCTTCTTTTTTTTTTGGATAAAAATCTAACCGCGATACAAAGAATAATGTACTTCCCCTAATGACTATAGATTATCGTATATCGCGCGGATCATTAAATATTTCATTCTCGAGAAACAAATACAGGGATATATCCGCCTCACCGTGTCGAGCCACCCCTCATTTGAGATATCGTCGTCCGGAGCACGGGGAGTCGCAAACACCAGAAGCAAACATAATATGACGAGCGCTTCAGGCTACACACGGGAGAGGAACAAACCTCTTCTCTTACAGTTATTTCTGCATTGACATCGGATCCGCGTGACGTGAGAGTCATGACGGGCTCGTCGTCCTTTGTAAAGTAATCCTCGAGTCGGCTTCTCGGCCAAATTGATCATCGTATAAGCGCTAAAGAACATATAAATTTTATGATACAATTAAGAACGAAAAATTAATTTCCCAGAAAATAAAAGCAATTCGAGTAATCTCGTGATTATAATACGCGCATAGGAAATAAGTCTGGCTTTATCGCGAAAGAAATTGAACGACCGGCTAATCTCCATCGCTGGGCCGCCGATAGTAACGCTTCATTTTTCATCCGGCTAACCGAATTTGTCGAACTCGGACTTGCGCCAAGGGGTGGGATCTAATTTCACGGCCATTCCGATGGATACGAGCTTCTACCCTCGCCGACTGATAGTCGTGAACTATCATTTGTACGAATTACACCGCCATCCCTTCTCGCATCGCCGATCGTTGTTATTATTAGCTTCAGCGTGCAACTTGTAATGGTTTCGTTACATCTCCCGCAAGCGATCGTCTTACATTGACATTGACTTCGTATATACATGTTTCGAAGTGCTTGATTGACAATTCTTTGCGATTAAATTAAATGTTATATAACTCGACAAGAAAAGAGATTATTTTTGATTCGCGCGTAATTGATCTAAATCGAGTGTCTAGCAGCTGAATGTGCTGAATATCGAAAAGATATCGATAAAATTATATAAAATTGCGGCGAATCGAACTGGAACAACCGCGTCAAAAGAATCGACGAAATAATTACGTCAAGCGGATATCTTCCAATCTTCCCGTCAGGTCGCCGCCGATGCTTTCATCTTCAGAAAGCATGAAGAGGCTCTGGTATCCGTTGATAGGGTCCGAGCCTGTCTCGATCCGTTGGTAAGGGAATGGCCGGGAGGGGGGAGGGGAATTGCACGCGGTGCGATGGAAATTATACGTACATAAGAGGAACGGAAGGTGAGAGACTAGTACGTTAAAGAAATTAGAGAGATAATTCCTCGGACGAATACCCAATTTACCCTTTCGTCCGTAGCGAGCGCCCTGGCCTTATTATCTAAAGTGCTCGGCTGGCGAGAGAGGGTAGTGGAAAAAATAAAAAAAAAGAACGCCCTCTCCTAACGGAAAAGGCGGAGGGTCGGGCGGGGCCGATGGCAGCTTGGAAGGACAAAAAGTACTAAAGTACATCTACGACCTTCTCCTAGCGAGAGCGTCGCGCTATCCGGAAACTCGGGACGCCGGCGTGCTGGTAAACTTTTTTCGGCTCCTATAATTTATTTACGGCTGAGATATTTTTCTCTGAGCTTCAACACTTTCCCCGTGGTGTGGAAAAGGGGTAAACGAGCGTCCTTTAAGCAATTCGCCTTTCTTCTTCTATATCCGCGATTGCATTTTTTTCCTCTTTTCTTTTTTCTTTGTCAACATGTCCGTGTCTATCGTTATCTCTTCTTTTTCGGTGGTCGTATTTTAATTTCGATACCGTGTGCGTTAAACTTTTCGCCTGATATTCGTTACTCGAAAAAGAATGCAAATGAAATAATCAAATCGAGGTAAATAAAATAACTTTTTATACCTTTATATATTTTTAAAATTGTTTTTTAAAATTAATTGAAAGTATATAAGGAACAATATAAATCTCGTTGTGGATAAAAAGTATACTTGCAATAAAAAATAATCAATCTCTGGGCGATTTAGTGTCAAACGAGTGATTGCTGCGTCTATATATAAAATATCTGTCAAAATCTGTGAAAGACGCGTAAAACACCGTTCGTCATCGTGATCGAAAGAATCAGCTGGTCAGGCCACGAACTGTCCTGAAATGCATTTTCCTATATCCGGCGACTTGCTGGCGGCGGTTTTAGTGTCGCGAGCCTGTGTACGAACTACGCGCTATGAGAGGACTAGTCTTTGTCGCTATTTTGGGGAATGGACGCAGGGACGACGCGAATACGTATTCGATCGATGAATCACTCAGTACAGTGTGACGTTGACGCGGCGCGTTGGCGCGAGGGAGAGACGAGGGCTGTGAGTTCCATGCCGGAAAAGGGGGTAAAAAGGGGATCGCCGGCTCGCGTAGGAAGGGTTGGATGCACCCTGTCGTATATATATACACGGTAGCGGCTCACCGGTTGCGGGTGCAGTCTATGCAGGTGCGGGTGTATTAAAAAGCGGGGGTGGCTGCGGTCGCGTACCAATCACCCGACGGGGTTGAGGGGGAGACCGAGGGGGTGGATGAGAGAGGGATCGGATAGAGCGGCAACCGGACGATCGGGAGGCCAGTCACGACGCGCAAAGAGAGGGATCATATAGAGATAGTTCGTTGCGAGAGAGAATGAGAGAACGTTCGAGCCCATGCAGCTTGCCGTGAAATTTTAATCGTGTCGTCATTGGGGTAGTTTGTTGCGATAACTCGACCAGTATGTATAAACATATACGGATTTTGGGGAAAAAAAGGGGACGCAAGAAGGCGGAAAACCGTGTCGCCGTCAAACGTTACCGCTCTTTTTTTATTTTTTTAATGCGTTTTCTCGTACTCTCGGGAACGGTACTTCCACCGCACATACCAAGAGCGACGCGTGTTTACCCGTTGCATTTATTAGCGGTGTGAAAGTAAAAGTCGGTCAGAATTTATATTCACATTGATTTTTTAATATCTTTAAACTATTTTGATACTATTCATACAAATTACTTTTATCTTACAATTAATTTTTTTAATCAATGTTCGAAAATTTGCGAAAATGTAGAAATGTTTACAAAACAAAGATAATCGCGACATAAAGATGTTACGAACGATCGCGGGACATAGATAGATCGATTCGTTGAAAAACGCGAAAAGATTCATGAGGGTACGACGTGTCCGGCATTATTGCTCATTTGATTCGACGCGCATCGGAAAATAATGTAGAAAATTGTTTTGCGGTCTTTTTATCTCGATTTCAGGGACACTGGTCAGCGCGCGGGGTCGACGGGCGCTTTGTCTGTTTTCCATCAATCACGCGGACCTTTTCACCGCGCGGATATCGAGCCTGCCCGTTTTTGCGCGCGGTGCATCCCGCTCGATTGCAATCGCGGCGAATTATTGAATCTGCTGCATCTCGTCCGGCCGGATTAGGTTGCACGCGGATCGTTCGATACACGATTGCAATTTGTCCACCACTTTATCACGAAGCGGCTGTAAGACTATTTCAAGTGCGCAATGCATTTTAAAGAAATATTAGAAATAATATTATATATTGACGAGCGTATATAAATTTTAAAAAATAACACTGATATTAATTATTGACATTAATTATTAATTATTATATTGACACTAATTATATGAATTATTTAATATGCGATGTGTTGACTAATTGTCGCACAACAGGAATTTTTTTTATTCCTTTATAAATTAAAGTTTATAAAAAATTCCATGTTTTCTATTTTATAATTATTATATTCATGAAAAGATAATGTAATTGCCAAATATAATATTTTTGTGTGATTGTGTAATACATAACTAATATTGTACTTACCAAATTGAATATCCTCGGCAAAATCTATGATCATCTATCATATAAGAGAATAAATCGATATCGTGGAACGGATGATATTACTTTATTCGTGATGACGTACTTAAACAATGAATGATTTTGATTAAGGCCAATAGTCACGCATACATACAATGTCGTTAAAACAATTTGTGGATCTTATGAACGATATAATTATACAATGAAGTTTTTCCATATATCGATATTTTTTTCGCCTCAAACGACGACGACGTTTAGTCTCCAAAAAAAGAGACAATTCGATAGAGGATGTGACTTGGCCAGGATTTGAAGTTTTTAGGATTGTGGTATTTATTTACAACGTCAACTACTCGTAATTTCGCTTGTACCGGGAAACTAAATGTCATCTGCTACACGAGTATTTTCTTTACTCAAATCTTTTTTTCAAAAAACATTGATGGTACAATATTCTGAGGAAATAACTTGAAAAACGATGTCATGAAAAATACAGCCTGATTTAAAAAAGATTATTTTTCAGAATCGTATGCGCGCGCAGGCGTGTTTTAACCGCGTACTCGTGTAGTCGATGAGACATTCAGCAAGTTTAAGTATTCTTAATCGGAATGACGGGAGGATGGTGCTTAACGTGTATTTGAAACATTAACCTAGATAATAATCGGACGTTATATTGTATATGTACATACTATATGCGAACGTAAACCCTGGTTAGTCCTCGAGTCCATGACAGTTCTTAGACGATACCGCAATGGGCATAGGGATAGATAAGTAACTCCGACAAAAGGTTCGCCCGAAAATTTTGATACATAATTTTCAAGTAGACGTTTCACCGCGGGGGTTACATCGCGCGAGATGTTCTATGAGCGTGTTCCATTTATTTCTCAACAACTTGACGATGATGATATATCGCTTAGCATTGCTAAACATTTATCTACAACATCGTGCAAGCTCTGCTTCCGAATTTAATCTCGAATCATCGAGACGAGATTAATCAGCGCATGCGCTATTTCTCGATAAAAATCAAGTTTTTCTTTTCGAGAGAAGAACACACGATAATAAAATTTATCTACGGACCATATTTATTTTAATCGTCGTCTTGATCATGGAATTCGTTAAAATCGTCGCGCTCGATGGATTCTCGCGGAACGACTATATTATTGTTTTAATTCTTAATAAGGTCTCCACACCTGTCTAGGCTTGGGACTTCTCTCTCTTCGTGATCGGATGGCTTCTCTCTCGACGTCTATTCCATCCTCCTTTCTTCGCGTCGTCAGATCCTGACCGACGTTTTCTTTATCCTGGCCTTTCTTCGTGCTAAGATCGACCGTGCCCTCTAAACGAATTTTCACAGTAAGATCACCGCGACGAGCGACCTGTTCCTGATCGATCTGAAGATCCGAGTCATTCAAATTCTCTATGCTTTGCCGTAAGTGAATCGACGCTTCCTGGAAAGTAGCGTCCGTGGACGCTGCGTCTTCCAAATCGCTTCTGATCGGCGAGATTCTCGGAGAATCTTGCTCGGGTATAGATTCGTCACTTCTCACGCGGTCTCTATTCAAATCCTGATCGTTTCTATCGTCCACCTCGATGCTATCGTCTGGACTATCTAATCCGGATTGACGTAAAACGCCTTGATCATCTCCCCGTCGCTCTTCGTCCTTCGTACTGCTCTCAGGACTGTCGCTGCTGCTTCTGAGTTTTCTGAGCTCCTCCAATCGGGCCTGATCCGGTCTCTGAAGTCGCTGCTGGGCCATCCTCAGAGCCAGAGCGTGCCATTCCGGCTCCAGGATGTACTGCTGCGTATGGTACAGAGGGTTATAGAGCCAAGAGGATTGCGGTAATAATGGCGCGAATATCGATCCGAAGATAGATCCTGTAGCACCCAGTAAATGAAAACCTGCGTGTTACGAATAAGACGTCAGTTTTTTTTTTAATTCACGCATGAAGAGGCATGGATTATGTAGGTCTCGAAAGTATCTCGACTTTTACCTTGAAAATGTGAGTGATGCCCGGATGAGTTGGGCGTCGTGGTAGTGGTCGACTCGGTGGGAGGCGTCGACGCTGTCACGGAGGCCGTCGTCAGCAGGCCTGGTCCAGGGTTCCCGGGTGATGTTGTCGGCGTCACTTCTCGGACGGACACGCTGATAGGACCCAAGTCGCCCCTTGCGGATTCTTTCAGACATATCAATTTACACGCCTGTTAATCGTTTAATTTTCTCTCGCTTGAGAAAAAAATGCTGACTATTTAAATAGGATGCGTTCTCTTGAAACTTTCTCCGAAATTTTTATTTTTCCCTACGAATATCTCGCGTCATTACCGGCGTTAGGTCCAGGCAGCCTCGGGGATCTTTGTTCGATGGCATGGTGGAAAGGGTTGAAGGCCGATGCACCAACTGTTGGTTGTGGATGTGTGTGCGGATGGTGGCCGGGGGGAGGTGGAAGACAGTGCGGTGGTAGAGATCCTCGGGGTAACCCGCCCCATCCCTGGCCCGCTCCTTGCTCAAGACCCAGGTGTTGCAATCCTGTGCAATCAAAGAAATGCAGATTACACGTCTCCGAGGATTCTGTTTATTCAGCGTCTCCGCTGTCATCACGCCGCGGTGATCTCCATATCGCATGGAAATGTTTGCAGTGGAAAATGTTCGTCTACATGGTAATTTATATTCTACGCGCGTGTATGTATATATATATATGTATATATGTATTTTTATAAAAATTCTTTGCTATATCGTATTAAGGATGGATATTTTTTAAAAAATGTGATTTGTTTTAAGTCCGAGTAACGCAATGTAGACGACAGTATCTGAAAATGACTGATACGATCGTTTTGTGACAAGACAACGTAACATATTTCTGGGCATCACGGTGGGCGTTGTATAATTTTCGGCAACGGTGATCGACTGGCAGTTCGAGTCGTAGAAACGCATCCCTTTGACGTAGAGGCGGTTTTTGACGTGGATGGACAGTTAAATTTATCCAACAGAGAATGCAGAGAGACGATCGATCATCTTTTTTTCGATAATAGCCAATATCGCGTGGCCGCGCAAGCATGTGTTTGAATGCAATTAAATTTATGACATCAAAAAGTTTGTCTGATCGTGATCGGCTGACACAAACCAACTGACATAAGTCGCACCGCTACCTTTGTTGTTCGTTCATTTGTGAAATAACAATTAATTCTCGCTATTTTTCGAAAAGCAAAATTCGCTCCCTTTGTTGTTCACATTTCACGAAAGAAAAGAAAATGTTTTTTTCTTTCAATTTTACATTATATACATATACGTATAAGCAATGTAATGCGATTGATTTTCGGCACGTTGCGCGATGCAAAAAGAACGATGCAAGAAGCAACTCCCGTGGTTATCGACGTGTTATCGGTTTTTCGAAAGACCTTGATCAATAACAGATTATGCCGTCATCTGTGCGGAGCAGTTTAAAAATTCCGTGAAAGCTGCCGCGCGAAGCCACCGTGCGCGAATATAGGGGGTGAGGGGGTGGAATGGGGGATGGTTAGGGGGTCACGGCGGGGTGGCAAGCAGGGGAAAACGGTTTTGCCGAAGCGGGGAGAATTGTCCGGTCACTGGCACGAGGGCGTAACCACCGAGACACGCGGATCGCCCCATTGGTCGCACGTACGCTCCCACCCTTCGCGTTATACCGGATGGTAGGGCGCGAAAAAGCTCGGTAGGGGTCGTAGGGGTGATTTTTAAGCTCTCTTTAAGCCGCGCGCGCTCGCCAGAAAGGACACCGCTATCTCACGTCCTACCACACCGGCGTGGCACACTGAACGGGCCAGCCGTGAGGGAGCTCGTAGCCCTCCTACTTTATGAGGGGGATTAAGAAAACGATAAGAGACGCGCGAAAGCACCGCTGCCACCGAGCTTACGAAGGCCAACGGACGGCTTTCGTTGGCAGCCAGCATGAATAAGAACCGCTTCCGTAAGCTCTTCAGGCACCCGGGATTCTTAGGTGACGGCCACGACGTGCGAACATCCTCCGATAATAACTGACTATGAGTTTCTTCATCGCTTGTTTAGACCGCGGTCTTAAAAAATAACTTTCCATCAGTATCATCAGTATCATCAATATATATACCATATATAGTTTATTCATAAATGTCAAGAAAAAAAATTAGATTATCGTCTTTTGTAGAGATGAAATACTTGGACGAGAAAATTACACACATTAAGATAAAAAAATTTTATAGGAATTCTGTTAATTTTTTATAACTAACAAGATTGACGAATATCGATAAGATATAATAAATTAATTTTGGAACACTTGGCAGCTTCTCTGAAACAACTTGTGCACGAGATGAAAATTTTCGATACCGCCGCACATTCTTTCCAAAGAGAAAGCGCGGACGTAACATATTTTCAATTTAATAAACCCTGAAAATGCCGCGCACCCTCTTTCGACAGACCTCGCGTGCCGGGTTCGGGTTCGGCTGGCGGGCGATAATTCCGAAAACAAATGAAGACTAATGAGGGGTGGGCCCCGACGAGATCTCGGAAAGAGTGTGAGAGCGAGGGAGATAGGTCGCGGGGGACGAAGCTGAAAGGGTTCAAGGAGCCGCCGTTACCCTTTAAGGGGTGAGAAATGTTGAGCTTAAACGTTACGGCCCTAGGGTTAGTTGCCTTTGCGTGTGCCTTCCATCGGGGGCTTTAAGGGATGATGTATTATCGAGCAGCGTGCTCAAAATGTGCTACGTACTTTGGTCGCGCCGTTCCCGAGATGCGGTAATGTGACGTCACGTGTAATATGAGCTTTTAAGCGTAGCTTTATATACGTTTCGCCGCCGACGTGCCCGCGGAGTGAATTAAATTTGGTCACGTCGATTACAGAACTCTCGTCGGCGCGAGACGCGTTTTCGAATTTCGCGATTGCACTTTTCATTCGCAATTATTATTATTACCGCAATATTACATGACAATTTTAATGAATGTGAAAATCAATCGCGCAAACTGTCTGGCTTTTCCATGACGATATCGTTTCGAATCTTCGGCGTTTTAAGTTTTACGCGTTCGCGGCCATGAAATTTAAAGAGCATCTTAAAGACGTTGATTCGAAGCCTGACACGCAGCCTGTAAAATGAAGGAGGAAGCCCTTCAAGATTTCTCTTTGCCTTAAACCTCCCTGATCTCGCCACCTCGAGATACATAATAAATTAATTCGCGTATTTTCCTGTCTGCCTTATCTATTCAAATCTATGCAAAACAGGCGTTAAAAACGCCCTTCTTGGTGCTAAGGCGTTAACCCTTGCGGAGCTCGATTTCCCCCACTTTCTAACCTCTTTGCTTCCTCTATCTCTCTCTTTCTGCCTCTCTCTCTGACACACACACACACACACACACACACACACTTACTTACTTACTCACTCACTCACTCTCTCGCTCTCCGACTTGTTCATTGCTCCTCTTTCCACTCCGCGTGTTCTATCCTCTAGCTACTGCCGGCTGGATGTCTTTGCACACCCACCCTTTGCGCCCGTTCTCATTATCGCGTCGCAGCAACCCCTAAAATGCCACCCTGGAAAGGTCCCTGGCACCGATCTAAGCTCCACGAGGAGATATTTCGAGAAAGGACGAGAGAAAATTGCTATCTCTCTCTCTCTCTACTTCTCTATCTTTATCTCACTGCCGCGAGATTTTCTCTTTGAAGTCGAGAAAGAGTGCAAAAATGATGGATCTTTTAAGAAATTGGCGATGCTCAGCGATGCATAAATTGTTACTTATCTTTACTGTATATTACATTTTATGATTCTGTAAATAAATCAAATTTTGATTTATCAAATATTGATAATGTTATCATTAATCATGATAATTGATTCTACAAAAGTATACATTTGCTAGAAAATTACATCATTTTGTTGCTGTTAGAAATTAATGATATAACTAATAATTGATTTTATCGATACATAATGTAAATTTTATTATTTAATAATTAAAATTTTGTTAGATATTTAGTTTTTTATGTACAATTATTACGCGCACATTATTTTAATAATAAATGCTTTTAATAGCAAGTATCGAATCTATATAATATCTATATAATAATGTATATTCACTTTCATTACATACGACAATAGGTGCGTGCAAAACTTAGGAGTGAGAAAATCAGATTGAGAATGAATATCGATTACAAGGACATTGTGAGACGCTATCAGGTTTCTATCTCTTAGGCTCGGTGGATTTTCGTGTCGACGATAGGAAAGGAGACGAGAGAGGAGTCCGACGACTAGAGAGAGCGTCATTAGTTACCGTCGTTTCCAGAGAAAGGTCCCGGTCGCCGGACCTGATTAAAAGACGGAATACCCCGGGACGAAACGCCCTTGCAAGACGCGCATGGGGAGGTGAAATGTGACGCGAATTTAAAGGATCCGCAGTGATTCGACACGGGGGGTGGACAGGAACAACCCTTAAAAAGGCTGCTCCCTTTAAGGACCGTATGCCCGTACGAAGGGTTGTCGTTGCGTTCGATTTTCCGTATATATGTGAAAGAGGCCTTTAAACGCGTCGAAAATCAGGTACATCCAAGGTGTCGTAAGAGAAACGATTATCGTAGCAACCCGCGATAAAACTTGTCGCGATTAGGCTAATCAGCGCTCGCAATAAGATTTACGCGTATTATGTATTATCAAAATAATAGCGATATATTTATAGAATATAAATCACAACGTGAAAAAATGTGTAGAAAATATAAAGTCTATTTATTATCTTTTAGAAATTATATGTTTGGTAAGAAGAGGGAAGCTTCTGCTTTAAAGAAAGTCACGAATTTACTGCAAAACGATCCAGGAACGAAGCGACAGTTTTAAACTGAGCGTTCCTAACAATCTCCCCCAAATGAGGTAAAGGCCACCTTATTGAAACAGGGGTCGCGATTTTTCCGGTTCTCTCTCCAACTCCTCTACCCAGCCTCTCCCTCGTAGGCGGTTAATTGACACGAGAGAGCGGAAAGAGGGAGGGCAGATTGGGGCTGCACGAGCTGTTCTTGTTAACTCGAATCTTGGCACCTCGCGATTTTTCATCCCCTTAGCCAGACTGACAAAGACGACGGATTCGGCCTCCCGGGAAACGCGTGATCACGGTGTTTTCGTTCGTGGACAATCTCAGCGAGGATCTTGTGTGATGTCTGTCACCGGATACATTAATTTTCCATGAGTTTGCTAGCGATCGCTCCTAAGCGTATTGCGAAACTTAACAACTGCTATAACGAAGAAAGAGTCGGAAGCACTTTACCCTCTAGTCTTTTGAATTATTGTCATATCTTTGTGACATTTGAAGCTATACTATCTTTACATAATAAATATTTTAATAATTTGTGACAAAAAAAGATACGCTATATAATGTATGTATCATAAAATTCAAGTTTTTTGAAAAGGATGTTTTTGTGCAAAATCATAGACATTGTTTTTTAATCATAATACGAATGTATTTGCGCGATAGAAAATCAATTATACCGAAAGAATGAACGATATGTGAACGAACGATTTCGATATATTGAGATTGACGCAAAGGACGAAATTAGAGCGGTGGATATCGGAGATCGGAGGGAAGTAAAGGCGCATTGGCCCGTCCATCGGACTTCAACGCTCTCACGAAGCCCTTAGGGAGCCCATAAAATTCGTCCCTGCTGTCGAGGTAGGCCCGAACGAAATTTAATAACATCCCCCTAGTTACACCTCAATGGGCACCTTAACAACCCTGCACTCGCCAGCCACTCGTTCTCGCGCCCCCGGTGATGCTGTCCCTCTTTCTCCTTATCAACCTTCCTAGCGTAGATATCTAATAAACCGCCTCTTTGAAAACGTTCTTACCTAGTCAGCGATACCCGACGGCTGGACGATTTCGAAAGTTGGAAAGGTGCTCGACTGACCGACCCTCTGTCGGACTGAACGGAGGCGCAACCTGTGAGCCGACCGACGAACCCCGAGCGAAAGGGTTGAAAAAAACTCGCGAGCACATCCCTTGAAATAAACCGATCGATATTTGGTCGAGAGTACCGTTTGCACTTAACTCGGAACACAATGTAGGTGACCCAATTGCGCAAATACAATTTATCCGTCGGATGTGCTAAAATCGTATATATCCTATAATAAAACACGTATATCTCTGATATAATTTGAACCTTTTAATATTGACAAAAAACTTGAAGATGGCTTTCAATGAAAGAAAGATTATTGTAATCAGATTTTCTCACATTTTTTGATATCCGATTTAAAAATCATAACAAACAATTTCTCACATTTATTTGTTAAATGTCGCACTTATTTCTAAATGTTGCGCTTAATTTCTGATCGATTATTGATTTAAATGTCATCGATCATCAATCGGTGAGCAATTGTTGTGAAATACGAATCCGAGGAGACGAGGAAAAATCGCTAGAGCGAGATACGCAAAGGGAAGAAAAGTTAAAGCTCCGACGTATTACCGGGCGCGGCAGTGGCTAATTCTTGATTGAACAGACCGGGGATACGGGGAATGGACGGGGTAGCAGCGAGAAATCGACGGCAGGACTGCCATCCCGTAGTACGCCTCGGGGATAGGAGGGAGCGAAGCTCCGTTAAGCCGCTTATCATGCCGAAACAATACACTGTCGGTGCACCAGTATCAGTACCCGACCCTCACTGCTCCGGGCTAGTCCCATCAAAATTTGGAGCTTCGAACGAGTTTCAATGGAATTCGTGCCACCCAACTGTCCTGTCGAACCGGTTGGATACCTGAAAACTTTTTCGAAAACGTTCGCGACGATGAAACGTTTAAAAAACCATCGTTTATATCACAGCGAATGCATTATCGTCCCGAAGAAAGAGGCTGATTGATTGCGCATTTCTCAAAGCAATGTCGATGAATGTATTTTATAATTTATTTGATGAAACGTTTGGTCTCATATTTATTAAATTTTTTTTCGCGAATAATAGGAAAGGTCATGATGCGCAATATATATATATATATATATATATATATAAAGTTGTAAAAAAATTTTATATATATGCAATATTTGCAATACTATATATATATATATATATATATATATATGTATATAAATTAAAGCTTTGAATTTGTTTGGATTAACAAAAGGGAGAATATTTCGTCACATCAAATAAGAACCGCTCGATGACAAAGTTAACAGAGCCAAAGTTTATTCGAGAATGACTTTTCCGTGAGCGGCAATCGAGCAGCTTTCTTGAAACGAAAAGGCAGAGTTCGCACGCCCGGAGCTTAATCAGAGTCTTCTCCACTTAGAGGCCGGTGGCAAAACTCAATTTTGAGTCGGTGCCTGCCGACGCTCAATTTTGACACCCTTCGCAGCCACGAAGCCAAACGCGCGCGAGAAGAGGGCGTCGACCCGCCTGGCCCGCCAAAGTTACCTTCCTCTCGGGAGGGGCACGGTACAGGGTTGCAAACTTAGTTATCTACGACGGGGAGACATGCCGAGAGAGAGAGAGAGAGAGAGAGAGAGAAGAGAGTAAGGTTGAAGGTGAGCTTCATCGGAGGCAGGTATTCACGCAAACTCGTCGCGACGAAGGAGGCCGCGCGTGTCTTTGATTAGAGAGCGTCCGACTTACCCGACAGCTTAAATCCCAACGGGTCCTGCGGGTGTCCGAAAGGGAACGGACGAGGCCCGAAGTGAAAGGGATGAAAGGCCTGATGTCCTGCAACGTGCGGTGAATTCATAAATCAATGTCAATGCGACTCGTGAGCCTATTCGGCAACATCTTATTTATTTTTCCATTATGTTCTATATTTTTTACGTCGCGTGATATTTCATAGTTGTTGTTAATTGGATTCCTCATTGGTCGCATAAAAAAGCTTTAGTATAATAAAAAGACCGCATTATCCTCCGTGGATAAAGTTGTACTCACGTGTCTTTGAACGCGGCTCCCTGGGACCGTCCACGGTCACCTTGATCGCCTTCGACAACGTGGCCACCTGCGGCGGCGATGTCTGCAGCATGATCGTCAGGGTGAAGCTCTTCCCTGAAACGAAAATGAGAATGGAGGCGTCGGGAGGCGGGAAGAAGAATTATCGCTCGGCGGTAAAACGAAAGATGAGATTCTCCCAATGGGAGATCATGCATATTCTCCGCTTTGGCTCCAGATCAAAAACCATAAAGGCGTAGACTTTATATCGCGCTCCTTGGTTTGCGTAGACTCTATTATTCATGTCCAATTGGCCGACCGCGAAAGAAAGATATTCTCGAGTACGTTCAATTTTTCGTGAATCTCTTCGCTTTCGCGAACTTGCGTGCCGCGCGTTGCATTTAACGAAATTTTGCTCTATAAAAAAATGTATATACGTTTAATAAATAAAATAGAAAACAAATATTTGTAAAAATAAATGTTTGATGATAGCTACGTCGCGCATTTTAATTGAATGAAATAAACCGACGTTTCCGCGATTGATATTCGCGGATTCAGAGTTTCTTGGCTTTGGATCGAAACTCGTTGCTATCGCGAAGGATATTGCTCGATGACACGCACGAACGGCAATGCGTTCGCGCGGTGCGTTCGCTGGAAACAAAACACAAATGTCCCGGAAGTAAGGGGTGAACGAGTGACGCCACTGCGTCGATGTTTGTTCCCGGATAGGCTGGAATATGTTAATGCCAGCGTTAAACGCCATCCCCTGAAATACGCCGGTTTCTCGTCACGCGCGATTTCGCCGTTTTACCTTTCGACGTGTCGACAACATTCGGTAGCTCGATAGATGAGATATTTTGTCGATTATCTCGAAATTTTCAAACGATAACGTGTCTGAATAACGTATTTTCAAATACATTTTATATGTTATTAAAAATATCCTACATATATCATTTTTGGGGATAATTATAATTTGTATTTTCTTATGTTATGTATCTTTTAGAATGAAATTGCAGACTTTTTTTTGGACTGGAGAGAGAAGAGACTCTCGTAACATATAGGTATATCTCTTATCGCATATGTTTTTCAGTTCGCTTTCGCACGTTGGCGCATTTTTTTGTTCACCAAGTCTCGTCGATGACCCGAAACAATATACGGCGAACGCGTATAGATGAAACGCGACTCGCAACTGGTCCGGCCGTTTACTAAATTTCGATGTTTTCGGCACAAATATTTCAATCGATGACGCGCGCGTCGCGCGGAATTCGTCACGCGTTCGATGTGCGTCCTCCTCTTCTCTCCTCCCTCCGATAATCGCGCGTATACGCAAAATAAAACGCGGGGGAGAGAACAGTCATCTCGTCGCGTCGGCAATACCGAGCGAAGAAAATAGCGGCGACAACGGGAGAGAGAGACATGTGAAACAACACGGCGTTTACGCGCTTTTTTCCGCGTTTCTCTCTCTCCGCGACAATAAAGTTATACAGCTTATAATGGTGTCGCCAAGTGCGACACCGGGGGTACACGCGTACACGCGCGCGCGGTCGGGTAGTTTTATTTTATGGCGGCGCGGCCGGGGCCCCCTTCCGGTAAACGACCGCGTTTTTACGGTGAACCACGACATTTAACCGGCTTACCGCCCGTCGCCGGGCGAAATACCGGACTTTAACTTCGCCAAGGGAGCCGTGCCATTTTCAGCGCGCCGCTCCCTTTCCCGGTGATTGGCCGCTATTTTCGCGCCACGCTCTGTTTCACAGATATCCTTCCGAATAGTCAAAATTGATTTTACACTTTGCGCGTCGAATTCTCAACTTTTATTTCCCCCGTGGGTATTAAGTCGTTCTCATCAATTTTCTCACATTTGTTGCTTTGGGGTTTATTCCGAGGTTGTGCGTCTCTTAAATAATAGAGAGTACTATCGTTAAACGATCGTTTGGAAAGATTATTTAGATGGTGGATAGTTGGAAATTAATGGAGGAAATTTTTCAAACTTTCTTTTGTAAAAACATTGAACCGAGATTATTTTCGCGTCTAAAGTCGAAAGCGATATATGTCGGAACGTTGTTTTGTGTAACACAAGTGGAAGATTTCGCCGCAGAGATTTCGTGGCTGAGAGCTAACGAGACCGAAGTTTATTGCAGGCGCGATGTCAGGCGCGGCGGCAACGCGAATCAGGGGTGATGGCAGGCATTTTGAGGGTGTTTTCATGAGGCATTATGTGTAACTCGCTGGAAGAACGATCTCCTCTACCCTTCGGAGAGGGTTTACAGCCTCCATTCTCCCTTTCCCCGACTCACCTACGTCTAGCGAAATTCTAATTCATCGGTCGTACACGAGCGGGGTTTGAGCGTAGTGGTCAATTGCACGTGAAAATCGTCTCTCCGAAATTTCATAATAATCCTATTATGACGAAACATTCTGATTTCCGAATCCCGTAATTTATAAGATTGGACAACAGTGTGCAACCTTTGTTTTTTTAAACGTTGTCTCTTTTTAGCGCTTCTTCATGCGCCGAGGATTTCGACGGTGTCCTTCGCACGCGCAAACAAGCCTGAAAAAAATTACTAATCCACGCGCGTCGTACGTCATTTTTATCCCACAAAATATTGCTCGGTCGCAGATTCGATCGAGAGGGAGGATCTATAAAGATTATGACGTTCGTCCGAATCGGCCGTAGAATTTTCGGTCGTGTTAGACTTTTTCGAAAGACCGTCGAAAAGAATTCGCTTTGCTTTTACAGCACGGCATTTCTCCAATTTCCACGAATATTTTATGGAGCAAAGGGAAGGAAAATCGCGCGAGTATATGCAAATTAATTTTGATATAAACTGTGATTGCATCCGAAACGTGTGTTTTTTTATTTAAGTTTTTTGCCGGAATATTCTCGCAACGATTTAGCAAGCCAAAACGAGTCGGGTGAGAAATTAATTTGGACAAGGTTGGCTCGCGTCCACTTATGCGACAACGATTGTTGCGAGAAGACACGGAAACGCGTTCGCGTTTCGCCCTAAGTTTACCCAGGGATCATGCAGTGTTAAAAACTCCCCTGTTTGCCGGTGAGGCGAGTGCGAGGGTTGCTCGGATCGTTATTTCGGAGTGTTTGTCGTGTTTTAAGATTCTGACGTTTTGACTACCCGAATCGCGGTAAACGAGGCCATGTGTATACCGCCGTGGCATGTTTGAAGGGAATTTTTTTTTTTCTATCTTTATACACACATCATGTATTCGCACGAAATCTTAAGCGAACGTTGGAGTTTAATATATACTCAAATATCGCGATTATCTAAATATTTAATTTCATATATAGTTTCATGAATTTTTTTGACGAAACGTGGCGCGTTGTTGTAAAAAAAAAAAAAAAATAGATCGCGAAAAAGAAAGACGTTCGGCGATTGTTTCGACTAGGACGAAATTTTGTTGCAGGATAAATTTCCACGGGAGGACCAGTTTTCGCTGGCAATATAATCACAACGTCGAGCATAACGACTTTCAGATGCGACGGCGCGACCGGGAGCGAGTGGTCATTGAAGCGTTTGTAAAAGCCTGCCTTGCTGCTGGCGCGACGGAATGAGGAGCGAAAAATATCGAGAAAATAAAGTAGGGAAACGTGGAATTAATATATGTGAAAGAAACGGATATGTGCGTATATGTACGCGGACTCGTACTACCAGACCAGAGCGGAAAATAATGTTTAATCGGTAGAAAATCTCGGCGCAGTCATCCGCCGCTCCTCGATCCCCCGCGCCCTCGCAATCCCTTCCGCGATCCCTTACTTGACCGAGGGGGATGGATTTTTTAATTTTTAATTGGCAAAAAACGTCGCCGAGGTGGTCGCCGGCGAGATCCGCCGACCGTTCTCGCGAATTTAACTGGCGTATTCGGGTTCTTCTCTCGGAAACACTAATATCTTCTAACATTGGAAGTTATCTCTCTGCTGAGAATTGTGTTCGTCTCGTTGTCGCTTGAAATTAATTTTCGCATTACAAAAAGATCAGATTAAAAAGAAACTTATCGTTTATTCAATCTCTTAAGAATATCGATACGCGTAATGATATATTTTTTACAAACTGTATTCGTTTGTTATTCGTGTAATTTTTATATAAATATTGCTAATGAAGTTCCCGTTGTTTTCTCGTTATAATTTGCGGAATTAGTAAATCGAGGAGAGAATTGTTTTGCGCGAATTGGACCCGCTTCAAAGCAAAGGATCGCCGTTGCAAAGGCAACGCGGTTGCAACAGCTGTTCGGTCGACCGAACACGAGAGCCGCTATTTTAAAAGGTCGACCCTTCTCATCGACACGGCAAAGACCTTTACGACTTATTAAATCATTTTCATCTCATCGTACGGAACTCTTTACGGCAGCTTCCGCGAGTAACTTTTCGCACAATCCTGTTGTCTCGTAAGTATCTTTACGATAATTCCGTGAATCCTTTCCACCGATAGATGACAATCAAAATTAATCGATCAAAAGAAATATCTTTGCGTGCGATTTCGAGGCGTCCCGTGCAACAATACTATATATAGATACTCGAATCGCGCATTTTTGTTCTTTCGAATCGTAAAAGAGATATCGAAGACTCGGATCTGCGCTCGCTCGCGTTCAGCGCTCGGCAGCGTTCATCGTGCGGCGGCGATTTAAAACGAGTCGTTCTCCTTTCACGAGAGAGAAGGGAGAGAGAGAGAGAGAGAGAACGAGAGATGCGGGCGAGACAGAGATCCGTTGCGCCAGGACATCGGTCAGGATCTGGCTGTCGATAGTCGGAGCTTTCCCTCGGATTCTCGCGCTCTCTTCCTGCCTATACCTCGGCCGGACCGTCATAAAACACAGGTAACTCCGGTATTTATGCCCGTCGTTTTTACGCCCGTCGCCACCCCTTCCCACCCCGTTCGTCTCTCGCGTACCAACACCAACGCGTAGCAGAGAAACATGCATATACAGTCGCGTCTCCGTACGGCCCGTGACTCCTAGCAGTCGGAGGTTGACGCTAATCCCTGTCGGGAGCGAAAGGGGTGGCCGAGTGATATACGTTCCTGCGCCGGTATGATAATATTCCGCCGCCACTTCCCCCCGTAACTCCTCGTCGCCGTGCATAGTCGTTATATCCGCTAGCCGCTTCGTACACCACGCACTAGAAGAGGTCCCTCTTTTGGGTCAGCGCGTAAGACCGAATGAAAGCGATTATAGTCGATTAAAGAGAGGGTCGCAATCGTCGAGTCAGGGGGAAAAAAAACGTCCAAGTTTTTCTCGCGCTCGACCTCATCCGCGTTGATCCGCGAAAAAATCAGAATCTCTTTCAGAAAATGATTGACTAACATTTGTATAAGAAACCGGATAAACCCTATTTCATTAAATTTATCAAATCTGGTTATTATTTTCGCGCACTCGTTAGATATTTCGATATATAAAGCTCTCGATTATTTCCGCAACAACGGAGGTTTACAAAATTTAAGCTTCTTTTCTGGTGGATATCGAAGTAGCAAATTCGACATCGATACAAGAAGCGGGTTCTTGCTCGCGTCTTCTTCGTCTCGCGTTGCGATCCCCATCAACGTCGTCACGCATTTCGACCACGATCAATTTCTCCTCGTCCGCATTCGCAATATTAAATTGGCCTGACAAAGCCCGCGGGCGAGCGTGAGACAAATATTTGCAGCTGAAAAAGTCGGCGCGCGCTCGCGTACGGGATGCGTGCAAAACAACGGAGGCAAAAAAGCGAGTGGAACGCGTGAGGAATCTGTATATAAAATGTACTCCGGGGCTCCTCGCCTCGCTGCGGTATTATGCAGCGATACGCGCGACGTGACTCGCCGACAAACATCATAAATTTTCGATTTATTCAACTGGGATCTGTTTGCCCTTTCTTTCCCTGATAATAACGATCCGCCTATTGTGCATTTAGTCTTTATGGCTAGGTTTTGTTTCTTTCTTTTATATTAAAATATGCTCTGTTTTTTGTTATACGTTCTACGTGTCACACGCGCGCGCGCATAATTTTCGAAGTATATTTCCGAGGCGCGGCAATGACGAAACGAGATTCGAGTTTTATCTCGACGCGAAAATTCATCGGCGTCAGATGCGCGAAAAGAAAAATCCACCGATCCGGCTCGACGATTGCGATACTCGCGCGCGGAACGATCTCGCGTTACTCTCATATGGAGAATCTAGAGGCAAATCGTTGCATACCGGTGGTAGTTAGGGGCTGCCCGTAATACAGTAATGAGGGCTTACTGCCATGGAAACCAAAGCCGCTTACAGCCAACCACTCTACCTCCATCTACCCTCTTTCCATTCGGTTCCTGTCTCTCTCTCTCTCTCTCTCTCGCGCGCGCTTCTCGCCCATCCATCCCACGATTTTCTCCTATATATATATATATATATATATATATCCGCGATATCCTCATTCGCGAGTCCCTAAAAAATTCTCGGAAATCGTTTCTCGGGTCTCCATTGTGGAGTATCTTGGATCTCTCCATTTCTGTAAGTGGAAGAGGTCAATGTGGGATGCGTCCGACCGTGTTTTAAAACATTTTGTGTGCCGCTGGAAACGGCGCTTCGAGTCGATTCGACTTTCATAAGTGGACATCGACACTCGGTAAAAATACTCGCGTCAACGGAAATGATTAAATGCTCGTGTGCGTGTGAGACACGAGGGGGGAACGATGGTCGAGATAAGTCGATGGGAGAGATTCGGAAAAAGAGAAGAGCGCGTTTAGGGTCTACCGTCGGGGAAGCCGCCGATATCGCAAACCCCGCAATTTCCTTTTCCAATTTGCCATAAACAAGTCGACCATCCCCTCGTTAACCGGCTACGCCTGGTGACTGCTCTCTCGAAAGTTCGACTTCCTCGGGGAAGGACAAGGAAAAGGGAAAGAGATGGAGAACGACAGGACGAAGAAAACGCTGCAACTCGGTCGAATTAAAGGAATTAAAGGACGCCTCGTTACTCGTATCTTTCGACTCTCCCCACCTCGACTCTTGTACGTGGAGAAAAGGGAGAGACTAGGGAGAGAAAAAAAAACAAGGACGTTGAAAAGTTTGCTCCTTTTCTGCTCCGCGATTCTGCCGATCTAGGTCCTTTCGCGTCGCTTCTTTTCCCCGCCGCTATCTTCGGCTCTTCTCTTCAAGGAACGAACGTTTGCATTAACCGTTCGTAATGGCTGCGATTATTAGGGAGCATTATTCAGAGACCTCGGACCCCAATTTTTTTCTCCCCTCGCCCACCCCTGCGCCGACTTCCTTCTTCGGACGGAAAGGAACATTGAATTATTGAAACGCGGAGCCGGGAATTAAAAAATCTCCGCGTGCGCCTCTTATCCGCCCCCTTTCCGCGTGGGTGCCAGTTCGCGAGAAGATACCGGGTCACGGTATTTGTCGTGTGAATTAAAAATGAGGACGGAACGAGGGGCCAGGTGGTGGCCCGTGCTTGGCTTTCGACGCGGGAAAAACGAGGCCATCAGTCGGAGCACCACCTTAATGTAGCAAAGTCTGAATGATTTAAGACGCCGCATCGGAAGAAGGCGAACCGGCGGAAAGACCGATCGAGTTTTCGACGTCAACTGATGAGAGTTATTTCGGAGAAACAAAATTTACAAAGATAGTAAGAAGAGAAGATATTTTTAAAAGTATCGTATCGTCGTTTTATACAAAAATTGCACCGACGTAAATCAAGAGAGTTATATTTTCTTATTAATGTTATTTTATTATTAGCTTTTTTACTATTAATATTATTAGATATAAAAAGAGTCGTGTTTTTGAAACTTACCTCTGCCACTTCTACCGACGAACCTGAGATCGTTGAATTTGGCGACTTGATTTTTCATTAGGGCGGTAGAATTTCGCAATTCCGCGCAACAATTTTCATCGTTTCCGGCTCGTACAGTCACGAGGGTACCGTCTCCGACCTCGCCGAGAGCTACTACCTTAAAGGCTACCGGCAAGGTCTTGTTAGACCTCCAATGTGACGGCAATACCGTGCAAACCACATGTGGGCAACCTAATTAGAATATAAAGAGAACAATTGGAGATTTATTTTTATTCACATCATTTATTAATTATTCTCATAATTTATAATATATATATCTATTATCAGCTCTTCTATTTCATATTTTTTAAGCTTGGAATTATTTGGGGAAAAAAAAAAAAAAAAAAAAAAATATATATATATATATATATAAACTATTTTTCTTTCTCCGAGAAAATCACATCTATTTTTGTGTCATATTTTTGATGCATAGAAATATGATAGAAAAATAATCATGCATAACGATTTTCTACCTGTGCGAATGAGTTCTCCGGGATGCTCGGCGAGAAGCCCATCCAGTGTTCTCTCGGCGAGCAAATCAGCGGTGAGAGCATAATCGGGGAGGTGATTTCCGCCGGTTGAACCTTGAGGAGGGACCTCGTTAGCCAGGTGCATTCTTCTCCTCGAGGATGAGGCCCGAGTTTTCCGTATTCTCGGCCCGCCGATCTGGCTCACCGGATTCGCTTGATGCGGCTGGTGACCACCACGCACTGACCTAGGATCAGGATAGTTTAGGCCGGCAGGCCGATCCTCGGGTCGAGCATCTCGCGAAGGATTCGTCATGAGAACGATATCATTAGTTCTCTCGCTCGAGATATCACCTTTCCCTGCAAGCTTTCCGGATGAGCTCGGTTGCTCAATTGTTTACGTGGGATTTTTTCCAAATTTTAGACAAAGTAATTGTACACGTGAGAAAATCGATTTCTTTCTCGATCAATGTCGATATGATGCTTGGTCCTTGGATGATACGTTTGCGTTTGTGATATATATATATATATGTATATAACTTTATCAATTTTTATTGCAATCTGTTTATTCTGCAAATTCAAGTTTCCTCATTAGAATCGATCGTTTGTCATATCTCGACGTTTACGATTGGTCGTGAATGTATCAGGCCGACTCGACGATCGTTCAAGTATCTCGCAAGCGTAAACTCGTGGTCTCGTCAACGGCAAAGAACGCATTACGAATGCACGCTGATATCTCCTGCCAGCGAGAATCGAATTTGTTTTCTCCGAGAGTGGCACGCGCGCAGTTCCTCGGCGGCTTTTCTCGGCCCTCGCGGGGCCCTAGGCTCCTTTGATCCTTATTTCATTATCCTGCCGCGAGCGGAAGCATCCGTTTGCAAATTCTTCTTCGTCTCGATTGCCAACTCGCGGAGAAAATTCGTTTTATTGGAATCGTCGGCAATCTCGGCGACCCTTATATCTGATTCTTTGATCGAGTCTTCCGTCTTCTTATCTTCGACGAAGAAACACTCGTGGCTGCGCACGAAACACGGAAATCCGAAGATCCGAACAGACTCGTACCTTTATTTTTTAATATCACACGTATCGTTTAAAACACCATCTCGCGCCAGCGATTTTTATCCTCGATGGCAATCAAATTCGCTCACCATTTTTTTTTCCACTAAAATTATATACCAGGATATATATATATATATCGAAAAGAGTTTTTTTTTTTTTTTCAAATCGCTATGTTTTCGCGCTCACCGCGCCAAGTTTCGCGAAACTTTGGCGAGTACCGCGCACAGCATCTGTCACGTGTATCTCTCTCTCGTCGATCGAAGTCTTGATCAATCACAGGAACGGTGTCAAACCGTAAATGACAATCGGAGAAACTTGAACACAGACTTTCGTGGAGCCTTCAACTCGTAATGATCCAGCCGACGATCGCGATCCATCGATGGTACATCTTGGTGCGCGCACGTCAACACTGCGATCCGAAATTTTTCCGCCGCGTGGATCGCGCGGAGATATCCCTCGCGGATGTTTTTCACCGGATGGTGCCAGAGCTGGTCGCGGTCGCGGCGATGGTGATTCTTCACCTGGCCGTTGCTTCGGCGGGTGGCAGGGCAGCTTCTACTCGGAGGAAGTAGGATAGGGTGTTTAACTCGCGCGGTCTCGTTTCGGTTCGGCGGTGGAAGATGGCGGCTTCTGCGGTGGAGCCGCGCGGTGTGGTTGCGGTGTATTTTTGAGGCTGCCGCCCCCAGCCACCACCGAGACCACCCTGGGTAACTCTCTCTCTCCTCGCCCCCTCTTTTCGTCGCCCCCCGCGGCCCGCCGCGCGTCTCTACCACGCCGCCGCCGCCACCGCCGCCTGCCTCCACGGTACCCGGGGGTCTGGTGGGGGAGTTGGTTTTTCCAAGCGGTGGGGAAAAATCTCCCTGCTTCTCTCTCGCTCTTTCTACCCTTTTTCTCTCTTTGTCCCGTCGCCGCCGCGCGCACAACCTCCTCTCGCAGGACCGACGTTCCCGACGATACTCCCGTCGATGACGACCCGCGGACTACGCGAACCTCGCGCTGTCTTCCGGACTCCGTCGTCGTTGCGCCGGACGACGGGGGACTCGTGGGATGTTCAGGGGGAGATGAACTTCCGAAGAGGAATCTCGGCGCCGCGTCTCGCCGCGCCGCATAATTGCGGCGCGAGATCGACGGCTACGGGGTTAAACCGATGATCGTAATCGTGCACAATCGCGCGAGTTCTATCTGTATCGCGGGGCACCGATGGAACGCAGCGTGATGTTCAAATTATTTCACTTTGCCGCTCGACGACGACAACGACTAAACATTCGTGAAAAATATTTTTGTCGGACACGTAGGTACGGCATTTGCGTTGGCAAAACTTTTTGCAAATTTTAGACAACTTGTTTTTAAAGTAACATAAGTTTATTTTAAACACCACGTGTTTCACTTTCTCAGCAAAACAAATTTGCACACTTTTTAATTATTCCGTGATAATTACAAAAAAGTAACGAATCTTCGATTATTGGTGTAATAATAATAATTTTCGCGGATGAACAATAAATATAATTTCCTTTTCCGTTAATTAATCTCGTGGATTCGAACGCGTACTTTTGTCAAAAGTAGAAAATGTTTTTGACGATTCTCCGGCTTTTTGCCCTTCTCGGTTGATTTCTTCCTGCTTCCGTCGTTCAACGACCACCCCGCGCGAGACTGCGAAACGACACTGGGAAGAAAGGGAAAACAAAGACGGCAGAAAGGCCCCTTGTGTAGTTGCGTTTAGTGCCGAGGAGTACGGGGGTTGCGCGATGCTCGGGGGGTTCTCGGAGAGTGCGGGCGAAGAACCGAGTCGAAACGCTGTCGGCCAGGGTGCGAGAAAGAGAGGGACGCAAGTAGTCACCCCCAGATTCAGCGGACCAAATAAAGAAATATGACAAATATTACTGCGCAAAACTGACGCATCTCTTATCGTCAATTTCATGCAAAGTAAAATATACAATAGTTTGCGAGTCTATATGACTAACGTAACATTTAAATGTATAATGCACGAGAGAGGGATGGATAAACGTTATAACTTTGCATAAATTGTGGTAAAATAAATGTTTCTCTTACACTTGTTTCTTAATGAAATTAATTCTTAAAGATCTCTCGTATCTTTTAAATTCATTATCGTTCACCGATGTGTATGACGAGAGCAAATTGTCGCGGACAGCCGACGGAACTTGAGAGATGGATCGTAGATCGTCGAATAAAACGGAACGTGATGCGGGAATTGTAACACGTCACTCTTTCGAGAGACAACACGAGACTATCGATCATGACGTATCTGTACCAAGCTGTACGAGAACCCCTAAACGAGTCGAGCCCCCTATATAATCCCTACGCCCTTGCGAGGAACAATGCGGCGCCTCCGCGTCCCTAAATGCAGACCTTCCGAGATGCATTTCGTCATGCGTAGGTTCTTTCACTGCATGATAATATCTCCCGTTTTCAATTACATCCGCTGGTATTTCGGAGTCTGTATTTTATTACTTCACGAGTACATCATTAATAGCGTGACATTTTTTTTCATTAAATATATGAGTTTTTTTTTTTAATTATTATACGTAAGATAAGAATATAATATTACGTGGAAAAAAGAATATTTTTTATAATATTGTAAGCGATTACAGGATTCAAAATCAATTGCAAACTATTGTGAATTTTTTTCTTACATTTTTTCTTCATGCACTTTAGTGTCTAATAAAAAACATGTTTTTCAAAACTATTCAACGCGATATTTATTTGACTTGTTTTAGCTATGAAAATGATTTTAGAGAAAGATCTTCCATATTGGCACGTGGTTTGTCTCATAGAGATATACGGCAAAGAGATCCTTTAATTATGCTAAGTAACGTCTCCCACAAGCGTCTCGTCGCAGAAGACTGAGCCGGTCATAATATTTAATCATTACTCGTTTCTTCTCCCTCCGCGAAGGCAGTTTCCGCAAGAAGTTCCGCCATTGCGAACAGGAAATGTATCGTCCGAATCGTGAAGACTGCGTTCGCGATATTTCATTAGATTAACACAGTTGAAACTAATTTATCGTTCATTACGACGTGTCGTCAAAACAAGTATATTAATAGGAAAGAAAACTGATATAAGCTGTGTCGATGACAAAATGTGTAAAATTGTACCATATCGAGTTTGACAATATTTTCGCGTTGAATATCTTGAACCCTTCCGATCTTAAAGATTACGAAACAAACAAGAGCGCGAAGCCGGCAAATGGGGTGACTATGTCGCATTGGGTTCGTGCCACCCCTTGAGATTGTTTCACAAAGAAAAGCGATCGTTCGAGTGAACCATGATCCTGCATAATAAATTTAAGAAAAACCTAAACGAAATTTCAGCAACCTTCGATATATAACTATTAAATAATAAATAATAGTGTTGCAATTTTGTGTCGAGAACAAACAACATTAGGGGGAAAAATCTCTTTCTTGATATCTAATTAAATCTCTGACGGAGGAAGAAACGATCTGTGATCTTTTATCCGCGGCGGTCTCACCCTATTACGGCTCTTCTTTTTCTTTCTTCCATAACTCACCATGATCCCATCCTCCCGTTGAAAGGGGGGTTGGCAAGGAACGCGGTAGGGTGGCATTTCATTTTTTGACACCCGGTGTATTTGATTCCACCCTTGTAATAAACCCCAGGGGTTGCCACCAGTGGGTCTCTCCTCCCTTCTTTCTCTCTCTCTCTCTTCCTACATGTCATATCGACACCTCATCCCGAGGGTAGGTGACTGCTAGGTAATTTGCTTTCTTATTTTCTCCGTTACGGAGCTCCTGCCGTCTCTTTCCTCTCCACCCTCTCTCTCTCTCTTTCTCTTCTCCTGACTTTCACCATTCTCCGAATACTCGTCGCGCGTTGCTATCCTTGCCTAAGAACCCGATTTCTCGCACCCCGCGGACTCTTGCTTCGCCAATTTTCCTCTCGATGCAGACAGCTGATGCCTGCGGAAACGCGTGAGAATTAAATCACGACGCGACTGACCCGAAAAATTTCTCTCTTTTCAGATAAATTATCTTGACATTTTGACTCGCGTCTGAGATATTTTTTCTCTCTGCGCATTTTTTTAAACAAATACAAGACACGAATCTATCTTCCTTGGAAATTTTGAAATAGTTAGTATAATTATATTAAAAAAAAAAAAAAAATAGCTTAAGACGATTGTTTCATCGTCCTGATAAATCTCATCCCCAAGACACGTTGTCCGGTAGCGCGCGCGAGAGACCGACGAGAAGCCCCAGTGCCGATTACTCGTTTCACTGCTAATCCGATTTTAGCTACCTCCAGACCGAGAAGTCCTTAACGCTACTCCGTTGGTTTCTCTCGATAATCTCGTTACCTCCATTAGACAGACTTCGGGGCCTCGGATCGTTCGCGCGTCATCTTGCGATTTATTTTACACCAGACAATCGATAATTGATACATCGAATCGAATCGAATCGATCGTAGATCGAAAAAGAGCTCGAATGAAATCGAAAAGTATCGTAACCTCGGCAAAATTCCAACGAAGCTGCTCTCGAGTTCGTAGCAAAGGCCGCGAGTACCGCGGCTAGTAAACCGGTATATAAACCCTTTCTAGAGCCAGACGAGCCGACGCATCCGCCGACTCCTCCGCGTTAACGGTGTGGGTGACTGTCGGGGTAGGTGGAGTGCGCCTCGCAGGGGACAAAACTCGTCCTAAGAAGCCTCTAAGAACGCCAAGGCGGCGGTGTCGCTTTTGGTGGGGCATAAAAGTATCCGCATGCGCAAACTCCTCGGAAAAAGTGCGGCCCGCCTCCGGCGCCGCCTCTACCGTCTCCGTCATCCCTTCGGTGCCCCTCGAGCCCCTGGTCCGAGTGGAGGGCCCCGAGATCCCTCTCATCCCCCTTCCCTCTCTTGCCGCCCCCGTGTTCCTTGCGCGCAAGACGTCGTCTGGAACGACCCGCGGCCTTTTTCGAGAATTGCCCCCCGGGTAACATGTGCTAACCGTGTGTGATTACCTTCGCTCTACAACGCGCCCGCGTTATCCAAGCTCCCCTTCTTCCCCTCTCTCACCCTCTCTTCATCCCTCTGTTGCGTGCCCTCCTTTCCGCTATCGTCGTTTTCTCGCTTTACTCGTCGATCGGTTTTTTTCTCGTCAGCGAAAATCAAAGTGCCACGACGGCGGACGAGAGGAATTGCGACTGACGGGCCGATAAACGGATTAATATTACGCGGTGTAAGTGGAGAACCGCCGAGGAGTGATTCCGCGAGCAGACGCCAGTGTGATCGGTCATTAATATTGTGGCGATATATGGTATATGTATAAGTTCATCGCGCGCACATAGGAAGTAAGAGCAAATTTTTCACTCTTGTATACGCGCGAGAAAAATGTTTTCGTACTTTGAAGCAATTTCTTTTTCGTCTCGGTCGCCAGTGTCAAATTATTGTCGTTACATTTTTGTATTTGTGGAAAATTTTGTTTTTTAAATTATATCTGGCAATTTTTCATTTTTTTAAAAACTAAAAATAAAGATTAACAGTGATTTTGAAAAACCAAACGCAAATGTCAAGAGTCGTTAAAATATTACGTTTACTCGTTCTCCCCTCAGAAATATTAACATTTTTTTTTAACGTCTAATAAATAGTCATTCGTCAGAATCATCTCGAAAATTTTGGTTAAACCGATTATCTATTTGAATAATGTCGCTTTTTACTAGTCGGCTCTTTTTTTTTTTTTA